CGTTTTTTAGTGCAATTCCGCATTTTCTAGCATAATGTTACATTTTCCAGCATAAATAAAAATTATCCTAATAATTTTAATGTAATTAAGTGTAATGCTACGTTATTCAGTGTAATTGTAGTATTTTTTTGTGTTTTTTAGTGCAATTCTGCATTTTTTAGTGCAATTCCGCATTTTCTAGCATAATGTTACATTTTCCAGTATAACGCAAAATTTTCTAAAAAATATAATAATTGTGGTACTTTTTAGTGTAATGCTACATTGTCTAGTGTAATTGTGGTATTTTTTAGTTCAATTCCACATAATCTAGTATAGTGCTACATTTTTCAGTATAATTTAATGTAATGTAGAATTTTCCAAAAAATGTGATAATTGTAATACTTTTTAGTGTAATTTGGTGAAATGCTACATTTTCTAGTGTAATGCTATATTATTGAGCATTTTCCAAAAAAAAATTGTAACATTTTAACATTCTGACAAAAATGAAACATTTGACCAAAAAAACATAAAATTTGCTGAAAATATGCAACATTTGACAAAAAATATAGAATTTTCATAAAAAATGCACCATTTGCTAGAAAATTAGAATATTTGACAAAATTTGATTTTAATTGACAATGTTACAACAATTTTATGAAATGTTGTTACAATGATATCACATTGGAGATAAAATGTGGCATTTTCATAAAAATGCACCATTTGCAAGAAAATTGGAACATTTGACAAAAAAAAAGCAAAAATTTGATTTTAATGACAATGTTATAACAATGTCACGAAATGTTACGAAATGTTACATTTGAGATATAATGTAGCATTTTCCCAAAATTTCATAAAATTTGCTAAATCGGACAATGTTGTAACAATGCTATTCCAAAAAATTGCTCAGCGTAATGCAGCATTTTCCACAATTTCCCACCATTTTCCAGAAAATGTGGAATTTGCATTTTTTGAATTTTGGACAATGGTGCCCCTTCGACCTGTGAAGCAGGGTCGTATAGCACGTCCTGAAACCATCTTGGACCAAGATCCAACCCCATGTGGCCTTCCTTACTAACCATTCACCCACTGTAAGGTAGCCTCTAGCCAGTATATTTATTCATGAGTTCCCTAGCTAATGGTACAGTGGTGGCTTTCTTGATATTGGGTAACCATCTAGAATCCTTCCATACCACCATCTTAGGTACTAGGTCTCACTCAAAGGCCACTACAGCCCGCGATTACCTACTACCGATGGTACAATTGTGAACTCCTAGTTGTAGTTGTGAAGGTTCTTCAACACAGACCATGACTACCATGAAAGGAAACCTCAAGGAATTTCCAGGATCACCTTTTTATAGTGGCTACCATACCACCAAGGATCACCAACCAGGAGCTGAGTACAGTAGGGAATCGAACCCCATACCTTATTCCAATACCATCTGTTCAGGAACATACAGGTTGATCTAAACCTATTAGAAGGTAAACTACTATGAAGACATTGCAACCTGACTTTACCATTTAAGGTACCCATCTAGCACGACTAACTCCACGCAGTAAAGCTAGCCACACCCCAGTAGTATAGTTCTTACCAGTGACCACCAAGACAAGACACTTCCCTGATGATATGCAAGCAGTGACCACCAAGACAGGACTCCGAACATACTAATGACCTCTTAGGGAACGTGAAAGGGACATTGAGGCTCTTTGTTGAAATATGCGCTTATTACCGTACATACTAATACACCAACTAAAATGCAATCCAATTCAACTAATCCCTGTACCTTCACGTTATTGGTGGTAGCGTTCGCAGTAAAATTCCGTGATCGGTGGAATTGAACCTGCGACTTCACCATACTCAGGCTTAATAAGGGTCTCAGTTACATACCACTGAGATAGAGTGATCAACTCTTACACAACTCACATTTGAAATACTAACAGTCATACTTTATTAATTTTTATGCGCACTCAAAACATATATAAAAGATAACAACATTGGCAAATTTGAAAAGTGTAAAACAATGCATTGTTCAATGTCGAATTTAATATAATGCTGATCAACATAAAATCACATTATTCTGCGAAAACAATAAGGATCAGTGCAATTAATTTTATAGATCAACGTGATAACAATACGCAGATCATGTGATGAACAATGCACAAATCATAAGTTGTTTAGCATCAGTACTTTATTTAATTAATGTATTTAATTTATGTGCTAAATACTAAATAATTTATTTTCGTCTTTGCAGATATTAAATTTCATTAGCAATATTTTTTATTCTATTAAAATCACCATTTATTAATTAATTATTTCTTTCACACCACTTTCTTGATCAACTTCGCTATCATTATTTTGATCGTCTTGATCATCTTCAAATAATTCTTTGCCTTTAAGCTAAGATTTAATCCATATTAGATTACAAAGTTATTAATGTTAGATTATCTAATAATTACAATTATGTTTACCCAGTCTTGTATAATAGGATTGGAATCCCATTGATTCATTCTTTCTTGCACTTTTGAAGACGAAATTTCAATTTGATCATAAGTTGGATCTAAAAACATCCATGCTACAGTAATTCCAAATTTGATATTATCTTTATTTTTCAACTTTTCTTCAATAAATACCTTTTGCAGGATAGATTCAATAGTATATGGTGAATCTGGATCATCATCCATTTTATGCCAAAGGTCATGTCTTGCTTTGATAACTTTTTCTGATTTTTTCCAATTTCTAACTTCTTCGGGTCCAGCAAATTTATCAAGTTTACAAGAAAATAAATTTAAATATATATAAATTGCATCTTTTATTTTTCGGACATAAGAACTCTTGTGATTTCAAAAGTATTCTAGCATCTGTATAGTGATGTATTTTAAAAAGAATGTAAATCAATAGTAAGTACAAAATTCCAAAAAAAGAATCACGAATTTAAAAAAATAAATCTTTAATTAATTACAATCGAGTGTACTGCATTCCATAATTTAATCCATTCACTTGAATCATCAAGTTCCCGTATTTTATTAGGATAATGAGCCTGAATTTGAGATTTGAAGGTTTGCTCTAAATCCGTATCCAGTGGAGTTTTATTTACTTGAAACAGTCGATGACATGCTTTTGTCATTGGAACCTAACAAAATAATTAAATAATCAATAAATCATAAAAAATCACAAAAAATCATGTACTAATAATGTTAGATACTAACATC